TGAGGGTTCTGCAGCTAAGTACATTTAAGAAACTGCAGCCCCAAGAGTTTCTCTTTTTCTTTATTATTATATTTTTAATTCAACAAATATTCAGATATCTCAAGTTGCAGTCACTGGATGTTGGGAAAGCCACTGTTAGAAACATATGATTTTACTGCCAAGTTCAGCTTAAAATAATTCTCTCCTTCTCCATCAAAGAGACTAGAAAACTGACCCAGATTAAAGTGTGAAGTCACTCCTAGCTTGCACCAGTGTCCTCAATTCAGTTCACTGCACAGCCCCACAAGCCCTTTCAGCAGAGCCGAAGGGACGTTTGGAGCCTGGATCTTGGGGAGAGTGGAACAATGGGAGAGAAGAAAGACGGGTTTGGAAAAGTGCCTCTGCTGAAAGGACCACTCAAGGCTACCATCACTTAAGGCATTACAGTTAGGGTTTCTCAATTTCTTCTGCTCAAGTAACACAAAATGTGAGTCCACAGTAGCTAATGCATCCATTACACACATTTCACTTCAATTAACACTTCCACTAGACAATATTGTACAAAACTGTTTGACTTCCACAGCAAAGTAAATTCACTCACTCTAGACACTGTAAGCATATATAGGTCTTTTATTTCAAATATTTCTGGTTCATCACAGCCGCCTCAGGAAATCCTATCAGCAAATTCAAGTCAAATAACATTAGCCTCAAACAGTCCCCACGGCAGCTTGGGTGCCACCCTGAAGGGATACTGCAGCAACAGCCAGCAGAACTTGAAACATAAGGCGTCATGGAGCAAAATGAAAGCCCTGAGTTTGTAAATATGAACTTTGTTTTCAGTCCTTTCTCGATGAAAAAAGGAAAAGAAGTGGAGAAAAAAGAAAAAGAGAAATAGACTCATGAAGCTCTCCTACCTCTGTAGGGGAGTAACTTGCAAGACAACACTATCTTACCAAATACCCACAAAAATAACTTCGCCCTTCAGTTTTCCATGTAAAACTAAATCCTACGACAGTTCAAAGTAATACATTTTCAGCAGACTATCAAAATACTCTTATGTTATTTTTCCTTAATTTTCTATCCCCATTTCCTTCATTCTCAGCATTTTGTGAGGACATCTTCATGTGTGTGCTCGACATTACGTCTGCTGCAAAGTCTGATAAACATCTAAAATATGCTGCTGCTTTCTTTCAAACCCACAATTACAGTTCACTTTACCAAAGGCCACAGCACTTGGCACTTCTTGGTGCCAACTCAACTCAGACATACCGCACAATGCAGCTAACTCCCTGGACCTGCCTTCCACCCCCAAATTTTCCACTTAGGCAAATTAATGATCAGAAAAGATGGGATACACCCAGAATACAGAAAACCACTTATTCAGCAAGTCAGAAATGGATACATTGGCACTGGAACTTACAGTTGAAAGTAAAATGTATCTAAAAAGACTCCCAGATTTCAGCTGCCTGCTAGCTACTGTAAATATCTCAGGGATGTCCCTAAGATGATTTTTACTGAGAACAAATGGTGAATTGGTAGAAATAAAGCAGAGGCAAGCTTGACAGTGAATAGACAGCTCCTTCACCCCTCTAATGGAGTTATTCCCTTATGTTCAATACTTCTTCAAAAAGGATGTCACTTCCATTGAGAATTCAGCTGCTCTACATTTTAAGAACTCAAGTGTTCCAGTGAAGCCTGACTTAAATTTTGGACACTGACACAGAAAATGGAAAGAAAAATAAATGTATTGCTATTCAGAATGCTAAAATGCTTCACAATAGAAGAGTGGCAACTAGAAATCCAGAAACACTGATCAAACTAACTGGATTCTCACAAAACTCATGGAATTAGTTATGTTCACGCTCTGCATGCCTAGCTTTTCACATGTAAAAGAGAACATCTGAAATGCATGTAACTTGAGAGCTTGCCTTGCAGTCATAGCTCTCCTCCCATAAACATAACCAACAAAAATAATTAACATAGGTGTTCCATAATCCTTCCAAAACATTTTCTTAGTAAGAAAGTGAGGTTTGTTTTTTTTCTAGTGGCACAAGCAGGCCTTCTAAAGGCTTTTTTTTATCTTTAATTTAAAAGGATTTAGACAAGAAGAAGCACTTACCTCAACTTCCATCTATAGATAAAATACATAGAAACCTATCTTGCCATTGGAATAATAAGCAGACTTTTTTTTTTTATATCTCTGTTGTATGCAAAAAAACAAATTCAACATATTTGAGGTGAGATAATATGCATAACTGTAGCTACCATGAGCTGAGAGAATTCAGCCTTCATCTGGGTATTTGGTAACACATGCAAATAAAAACTTTTAAACATATACCATGAGGAATTAAGCATTTCTAGGAACAACAAAATCTTGAAACCGAAATTAGTACTGATGCCTGTAGAGGCTTTTTCAGTTGAAAAATCAAAAAAAGGCACCAAAACCTGTAAAATTCGAAATAAATCATATAGATGCCAAAATAAAAGTAACTTTTGCCTTGCCTGACAGTATAATTTGCAGAAAACTAGCTCATGATAATATTTAACCTTGGCCTACAATGAAGCATGACTTCAATATTTCAAATTAGTCATTTAAAGTATCAGGGGTAGGCAGAAGCTTAAACGAAACTCCCAAGGAAATAAGAGTTACTTTCTTCCTCATCGCAAGCACCTGCATGTATACGTACATGAAGTTTCTTTTGAAAGCTAATCTTGGAGCTGTCAAGGTCATACAGTAATCACAAGAGCAAAAGCTCAGAGGTGTATTAAAGGAAATGCTGTATTGCCAACATTCTGAGCCATCATTTAACTATCAAGTAAAATACTACAAGGATACTACTAGTTCACAGGAATTATTTGATCAGAAATGAATAACCAGAACAAAAACTGTGATAATTATTTCAAAACCTTACTGTTGAGACTACTGGACTATTAATTTTAAAAGCTAATTAAAGTGAAAAAAAGCTACCCTACAAATAAAACAATCTCCTATCTCACTGTATGGTTGGCTTTTTTCCCCCCAATAAGCTTGAGAGAAGCGTGCCTAAGGCACAATTTCTAGCTCATCACACAGAATTCAGTACAAAACTTTTTGGATATTGACAATTCATCTACATACAGCTATCACAGCTGTTACATAACTTTTTTTAAATAGTATTTTCCCTTTCATTTCTCTTGCATCCTTTGCTGCATGCAACAGGCTCCCAGAAAGAATGAGGCAACAGAGCTAAACCTTCAGTACAATAGTGTAAGCAGCATTCACATGCGTGTTCTGTTCCTTTCTTTTGCTTTAACATTTTGCAAACATCCTGCTAATACTAGAGGGGTCACTTTTCAGAGGCTGATTGTTTAATATATACTCAGGTTCCCACCAAGTTTTTAATCTCTGCAAAACATTCCCCTAGAAATAGGCATCGTATTAACAGCAGTATTAACAATGAAATGTGCAGACTGCTTGTGCCAAGGGCCAAAATGCCAAATTTAGAATTTGGTTTGTAAGCATAGGAATCTCGCTGGCAAAACAAACAGAATTCACTTAGGCTTTTTTGTTAAGCATTCAAAAGTAATAGATGCACAGGCATAAAAACTAGTATGTTGTTTTGGACTGCAATCCTACTTCAAGTTCTATCCAAACTCTACACCTACATGAGAGATTTTCTCCTCAGAAAAGTTACTACTGCAGGCTTATTGGTTAAAACAGTCTGTGTAGCATGTGGGGAATTCTCCACCTGGTAACAGAAGCATGTCAACAGTTCACTAACAAATGCATTTGAAACGCTAGATCCAAATTAAAACTGAATACCAAAGCCTTTCACATTACATCCCAAACACAGAAACAGTTTGTCAGAAATATACAGCAGAAATCTTCAAAATTCAAGAAACCCATAAAGGAAAATACTTGGCTTGGGCTTCTCCAAAAGGCATTATCACAAACAGCTCTTTATTAGTACATAGCTCTTCATCAAAACTAGCAGACTTCAAAATATTCCAGAAAAGCCGTTTGCAGCTTACCATCAATCTCATATTGAAGCACTTCTAGGTATTGCTCCTTGATGAAAAACCACAACGTCAAAGAACAGAAAGCAAGCCAGAGCCAATTGTAACTTTGAACAAAGCAAACAACAAAAACATACCAAAAATCCATTCCTCTGAAGCCAATCAGAGAAATGTGAACAGTAACAGCAAGACTGCCCAGTACAGACAAAAGACAGTAACAGACCTATCAAGAAAGCTGGTTCTGCCAGGTTAGTGACCCAGGTTAAGCAGCTGAGTTTTCCCACTGATTTCCATCAGAGCAACAAAAGTAAATTTATTCAGAGTGTATTTAAAACTTCTGCCTCTTGTAAAGTAATCCTTTGCTCAGCTTAAAAGAACTGCCATGGAACTCAGTAGAGAATGATACAACAAAGTGAAGATGATGCTAGGATTACAGAAAAAGCAAACACAGCCTACAGGTATGTGAGGGACAAGCAACTTAATTTCCTTTGAACAAAAGGTATTATTCTTTAATATACACAGTGGTACTTAGCTGTACATTGGTAAGTGCTTCCTCCTATTTAAGGAAATGCTGTCATCATTTCATTTAAGACATTTTTTAAGTTCAGAAGAATATGCCAGTGAAGGGTGTGAGAAATCCAAAGCAGTATACAAAAACAGTGTATTTTTAACCTGTATAGGTTGAACAAATTAACCAAGAACCCAAATCTAATCCTTCAATAAACCACAGATGGACACATTTCAAATAGGTTTCCAGTTTTGCTTCTATAACTGAAGGATCAATTTCAACACACGTGCAAGATCCAGTGCATTCTTTTGGATACTCGTGAAATCGCCTTACTCATGTCTCTGATCAGATGGTACAAGACTATCAACAGATCTCAATATTCAGAAGATGAAGGCAGTCATGCTTACTGTTATGGTAAATACTTGTTAGTAGCTTAAGCACTTTAATGGGAATTATTTTTACTCCAGAAAGTAATTCCCTCTAATTCCAACACGAATCTGGAACCAAAATTGCTTACCTGTGGACATAATGCAACTGATGCACAGAATCAATGGCTATCACCATTTCAGCCAAATAAAAACGAGCCATATCTTCAGGTAATCTGTCCTCAAACTTGCTGAGCAATGTAAGCAGGTCTCCTCCAACGTAATAATCCATAACCAGGTACTTTGGTGTGGGAAAGATAAGAAAACAAAGGGAAGAAACAATTTACTGAGTGAACTTGAAACTAAAACCTTATTGATGTATAAGAATTAACTTACTAATTACAAAAATCACCATGAGCTTTACAAATTCCAAGATGCTAGTATATTCCAAGAACTTTATTTGTTTTAGTCTAATTTAAATATTTAACCTACTCGTGCATTTTTTCTTATTTATATGCATCCATATACAGTTAATCTCACAACAAAACATCATTAGCTTCAGCCCAGTGTTCCTCTGTCAAACACAGTAATGATACTTAAATACTCAAGTCTTAAATACTTCACAAAATATTACAGAATGAGAGTGCCATCCTTCCAAGAGAAAAAAATCCCACAGATTTAAGGATGTTACAGTAATTATTACAAGCTCAAATGGTCATTTAATCCATAGATTACAGAATAATTTAAGCTGGATGAGACCTGTTCTTATCACCTACCGTATAAAAACAAGTCAAACAGAATTTTAAGTCAGTAAACACTTTCATTTTTGTTAATCTAGTTAAGCTATCCAATTAAATCCTATCACAGTTGCTCGTAAGTTTTATATGGTCCAGAACACACAATTAGTAAGCTATGTCTGTCTCTCAAATCACAACCAACAATGTGAATTCCTGTTAATACATACATAAAAACAAAACTCACTAAATAGTTTTCATCCTGGAACGCGTAATGTAACGTTGTGATCCACTGGTTATCTCCATTCACTAACACATCTCTCTCTTCTCGAAAACATGCTGTCTGAAGGGGAAAAAATAATTATTATAGGCATTTAAGTAAAACATCAAAGAAGCATTTTACAAGTTGGCTATTTTTTAACATCACACATGGAAAAAAATATCTCATTCTTAAAACATCAGAAAAGCCCACTTTCTTCAAATGTGAAATTATACTACTTCTACATAGCTAAGTGATGCAAGGGGAGAAAAGGCTGCTGCTTATCATTCAGTGTACAATTAAATAGATTGATAAAGATTAATAAATAATCTTTATAAATAAAGATCATTTATAAATTATATAATTATAAATTATATAAATTATAAAGATTATTTATAAATAAATAAAGATTAACAAATTGAATAGGACAGAAGAACTAGAACGTGGAGCCTTCTGTCTTCATCTCATCATGCCACCAGTCTCTCACTCTGATATAGTGGAAGGAATCAAAGGTGACAAAAGATGCCTTCATGCCAAATAGAACAGATGAAAAACATGAATAGCAAGAAATACGAAGGATCTCCTCAGAGGGGAGTGAATAAAATACTTCAACAGGAAGAACATTACAGAATGACAACTTCACTTCTATAAACAAAAGACATCCCAGACCTCTGACACGGTTATTGCTGGCTGTGAGATCGGAGAGCAAAGAACAAAGAGTGGAACAGCCTTTCAGGCTGAGGCATGCAGAATACTTTCAGAACAAATCAGATTCCTCCTCCAATCAAATAAGCTGTAACAGTTCTCATTTTGGTGAATACAGTGAATATGAATAAGGAAAAGAAATATGCTATGTTTTAATCAGAGCACAATGCATGAGATAAAGCACTGAAATCTGATTAAATACCTTAAACAAGTATTGTCAAAGGTTACTAATCAAAAAGCAGACTTGAAGACAGGAGGAGAAAGAGGATGATCTTCAGAAGGAAGAACAGCTGCTCATGCCTCCGTTACATTTTTTCCTTCCTTGTTTATAAGCTCTTAGGATATTCCAGAAGGAGACACCACAAACTCTTCACAAGGATGACATGCAGTTTGTCTGCTTGCTGTTACACAATTCAGAGGTTATATAATTCCAGTTGTTTTTGCCATGACTTAACAGGAGGCTGTGTATTCCTCATGCACCCTAGACACCTACATCTGGGCAACATGCCTAGAGCTAACAGCAACAGCTATTATCAAAGCAGATCAGTTGAAACAGTGCACAGCCGAGTAGTCTGAGTGGTTCCTGGACTTGGAGTTAATTCATGGCCAAAAAAAGACAGTAGAAGTGGTTCCTGTAATTACTCTAAGTGTTCAATTGTATAAATTCATGCTTTTTTTTGTGCCTTTACACGGCTTCCAAATGAGAGAAAATTCTAGAGTAGCTGTAAGTGCTTCAGTAAAAGCAATTTATGTATCAATACAACACTGTCTGCACAAGGACATACAGTTATTTAACGTAACCAATGACTGAACCTATTCCCTTAAGGAAGGTTTGCATTTGTGCCCTCCCCTCTCTAGCTCGCCAGAGAACCATGTGGCTGAGGGCTTCCATCACAACACCCAGAGCATAGGACAAAGCAATACCTTCTCATGGATGAAAGGAAGAGATCACAGCAAACTCTATTCTTTCTTCCATAGACTCAATATACATCTCTGGAGTCTGACTTCTTTTGGAATGTAATGACTCCAGTCCTACTGAAACCTCTGTAAATGGGGATAAGACTGAATGCTTTATCTCAACATTATAGAATCACAGAATGGCTGGGTTTGGAAGGGACCTCAAGGATCATGAAGCTCCAACCCCCCTGCCACATGCAGGGCCACCAACCTCCACATCTAATACTAGACCAGGCTGCCCAGGGCCCCATCAATCTGGCCTTGAACACCTCCAGGGATGGACAGGGCATCCACAACCTCTCTGGGCAGCCTGTTTCAGCACCTCACCACTTTCACAGTAAAGAACTTCCCCCTGACATCCAACCTAAATCTTCCCTCCCTCAACTTAAAGCCATTTCCCCTTGTCCACCGGTGTGGCACAAATGCACTCATGCATCCTGAGAACACAACAGGAAGCCATTGCAGACATTCAGGTTATCCTTGTGTCGGTAACGTCCAGCTCTATACCACATCTGAATTGTCACAGGCAAGCATTCAGAAAACTGCTCTTTATAATACAAAAGAGGACAGTGCCCTCACACCTCATTTAACTTCCTTGTAATGAAGCTTTTGCATATAATTACCCTCTCAGAGTTTGCAGTGAATACTTCAATCTGGCATTCGCAAGCCTCCTAACACATACTCTGTGTTTTCACAAATGAGTCTCACTTCCCATGAAGACAATACAGGCATAATACAAACAACTTAACTCTACCATTTACACATACACCTATGTGCTTATATTCCTGAACTGTGTATTTTTCCCCATGTATTTCTGTGTTAATGCAGCACATTGCTAACAGAGCCAAAATGAGTCATCACTGTTCCAGAAGTAATGACAGCAATTCATTCATCGACATTATGAGTGACAGGTTATAGCTGCTGCACATCATGCCTTGTAATGCATTTTCCCTCCAGATGGTTCCCTCCCTCTGCATGCCCATGGATTACAAATACGTGGAAAAACAGAGCTGTAATTCTTCTTAGGCTAACAGTTCAGACTTTCAGAAATTAATCTAGACTCAAGGGAAAAGTATTTTTAATACCTTTCACAGCGCAAATCTTGCCAATCTATTTATAACTTTGATTTAATGGAAAGAATTGGCAATTAAACTAACTTGAAAAGTAGACATCTGAAAATAGAATGGAACTTTCTTTCTGGTCTTTTATTTTTCACTAAAATAAAACCTACAATAAAGGCACACATCTTAACCAGAAATACCTCTTTGTATTAATATTGTTCAGTATCTGAATAATTTAATTAAGACAAAACCCATTATGTATGTCTAACAATAGTCTGGTCTGCATGCCATCCATACCTCTTCATATAATAACATTTTCATTAAAACATACAGGATCTGATGAGCAAACATAAACTGGCTTTAATCCATCTGCATAATTTCCCTTATTATTTCAAGTGTGATGGTTTCTCATTGATGTTGAAGCAACATTTTTGCTTTTACTGAATTTTTTAAGTCTATATTTTTAAGCAGTTTATTTTCACTATGCAAAGATGAAGGATTTCAATGCAATTTAGAGTCAAATACATGTTCCATTTAGAAAATATACACCCATCTTCAGTTACAGACTGCATTTTTTTTTTTCTTTAAATTACCTTCCATAAAAATCCAGGGAAAGGTACTGAAGTTGGACTCAAAATAAAAGTCAAAAACCACGGCAAAACAGTGCGAATGGAAGAGTATTTTAAGAACACAGAACTGACTTAAGCTGTAAAAGGAAATTTTCATCCCAAAGTTTTGTAAATTGATGTTTTTATGATGTAATTTGTGTTTTTTATTAACTTATGTTCTCAAGTTCTTTTGAAACTTTTGTTTCTAATTTTTCAATCTAAAAATTGGACCTCACGCATCAGGAGTTTGAGCTTCACCAATTCATTATATCACAAAGATATACCCACTAAAGACTACTGAAAATCATGCGTTATAGTGTTGCTCACATAGTAGGTAATTCTTGGGCAATTGCATAAAAGGGATATCATATTCAACCCCACCTAAATCAAGACACCGTGCCACCAACCTTTCTTATAAACTGCTTTAAGTTTATTTTAAAATTAATCTTCATACTGTCATTGAGTACTAAAGTACTTCCTTAATCTCTATAATCATGGTTTTCTAGTTGAAAAAGTAGTAATAATTCAGGACAGTAAGAGAGTACATGATTATTATAAAGAACATTTCTCTAATCTTACTTCAGCTCTCTTCAGCATCTCCCACTTATTAAGTATCTTCATGGCAAAAACCTTATCTGCATTCTTCAGTTTTACTACTGCAACCTGGAAAAGATAAATGAAGGATAAGCTAAAACATTAGAAGACATTGCTTTTCATTTCAGGAAATCTTGAGGATGTTGTGTAATAGTTCTTTTTCTTCAGTGTTTCTTACACTTTATTATCCATGCACAGTACCATACCATCACTATCCAGAAAGAGTAACATCACAGCAGTACAGCATATTTATTCCGGAAAAGATTCAACTCTATTTCAAGCTTTCATTATGTATCACCCTTCCATCAAACATCATTCTTTCCAAGTGATTGTAGATGAACAACGCTATTTCTTGCTATCACACTTTTTGCTCTATCATCTGCATGAAGTTACCAAGGACTGTACACTTCACCTTCTTGGATTACTGCTTCCAGTATTACACAGCACTTTAAATTACAGACCTGCCTAGAAAAGACAATGATCTAGTAGTCAGTTCATAAAACCAAGAAACAATACATTTTAGGTTTTTTGGCAAAAAATTATGACTGTAGATCTGTTACAGTTTCTACTCTCATCTCAAAAAATGCACTAGACTTCCTCTGAAGACATGGTAAGGTATTCCTTCACATTTTTCCACCTAAAGTTCAATGAGCCTTTTTATGATGTCTCTTGTCAGTGGTACCAAAACACTGAAATTCACATCTTCCAGAAAAGCAAAATTTAAGAAAGACAAGCCCTGCTCCTCTTCGTTGTCTGTTAAAGATTACATATCATAGGCACATGTCATAATATATTAACAAAATCAACTGACCTAGTCTTTTTCTAAGAAATTTATAGCATGGGTTGATGATATTAAAAGCTAAGATAGATTTTTTTAAAGAGTAGTGGAAGAAATTTACATAAACATGTTTTCACTGTCAGGATTCTGTAGGCAGGAAAGCTGTGAGTCTTAATCCATCAATCTTTCACGCATTCAGAGCTGCCAATCAAAGTGAGACTGACCCACTCCATTACCATCCCAATTATAGAAAAAGCTCCATTAGCAATACATTTTATCAGCCATTCCCCAACTACCCCATTCTGCCTACTCCCTTTCAAATAAACCCTAAGGCTTCAGGAAGTAACTTCATTTCTGTGCACACTTGGTTACAAACCAGCATGCTTTCACCCAAATCATCATCTTCACCCTGCAGGTCAGTTACAAAAAAAAAAAAAAAAAAAAAAAAAAAAAAAAAAAAACAAGATTGACTCCTACATTTCTTCTGCCTCTTTCATAATCAGCAAACTAAGTCTGTGCGAAAACAGCGATAACAGAACATAAAAACATGCCACAAACATCTTTCCACCACCTTCAAATGTGTCATCAGCTGCTGCAGCTTCATACATAGGCCAAAAGTACACTTAGCAGAACTGCACTAATCAGATGTCTAACTTAAGTATACCTAGAGGTGTATCTTCTGCTTAGTACAGAGTCATTGACAAAGCAGCTGTCACTTTCCATATGGGCAGCAATGCATTATCAGTCCTGCTGCTGACCTGTTGCCTGGGGGGCTGGAAGCAAGAAAAAAAAAAGCAAGAGAATAGAAAAAGGTACTAGATCTACCTACATGTTTAGCTTATGAGATGATTTATTTCATAAATCACATCCGTACTGAGTATCATAGTTTTCCACAGGAGGAAAAGATGAATCCTCTGTAGTGATACGTGAACTGCTACGAAAATTTGAAACTTCAGTCTTTTTTTTTTCTTTACCAGCTAGGAATTTGTCAAGCCACCTCTGTATCAGCTTTAATGAGAAATGGCAGGAAGAGAAATGCTGCAACTAGCCAGCATTTAAATTCCATCTTACCTTGGATGACATGGATGCCCTCAACAATATGAAGCTAATACATAATTATGCCTTAAGCACCTTAAAGGATTCTGCCACTGTTGTGGAGAAAAATAAACATGTTGGTCCAAGAGTTGACAAGCTTGCTGCTGCTTGCAGGGAAAGTGTTTTTTACCTCCAGCACCACTGACATTGTAGGACAGTCAGGCAGAGGATTAGGCAGAACACAGGGATTTTTAATCCAACTTTGGGGTTCTTTCATTGCCTGCTCAGTGAAAGGTTTTTTGTGCATTTGCTATGGTTCTTCCCCCAAAAAACTATATTCCTTAGTCTCTGAATTACACACGGTCATCTCATAACCATCTAAAATTGCAGTGCCCTGTACAGCACTCACTTGGAGACAACCAAAGGGGTCACTGTGCTGCCTCTGGTTAACAGCTAAAGGACAGGGTTTCACACAGTTGAGGATTTGGTACCCTAGAATGACCAGTATTGAGCAGTGACTAAAGAATAAAAACAAGTTCATGTTTCCCAGCTGTGTTTACAACCAGAGGCAGCCTTTTAGCTCATGAAGTCATTAATGTCATTCCATATCAACAGTCACTATGTACACACAAGACCAGATCAAAAACATCACGACTCCTTGGTAATCACAACACCTTTTTGCAGGTGTCTCAAAGCTTTATGGAAGTAAACTCTAAACTGCTTATCTCAGGATCTGACTGTGAAACAATGATCTGACACTTAACAAAGAACAGCCCAATGTAACAAAAAAGTCTGAAAGCTGATTACAGACACCACAGTGCTTGCACATACACACACATTCTATATGCTCTTTCTATAAATGCACAAAAACTGAGTGCTGTTTCGATGTACTCTCTTCCCCAAAGAAGCTGTCAAGACAGAAGAATGAAGAACCATTCCTAAGTAGTTGTCCTGAAGTGCCTTCCTACTGGAATTTACTAAGATTGGACACTCGATAAATACATATTTTTCCTTGTGGTGGAAGTTTTGTTTGCTTGCTTTTTTTTAAATTTACATTTTCCTGTGAGCAGCTTAACAAAAATTATTGGTATGTGCTGATGTAAACACTTTGGTTTAGCCATATTTTTTTTTCCTCATTCCTCCAACAGCTTTCTGTACTTCCCACAAACAGCAGCACTGTCTGCTATTCTGCCAGTCACATATCTTCTGCCGCAAAAAGTAATGATCTTAAAAATAAAATAATAATTATGCATAATATCATGAAGCTAGGCCAGAAGCTACTACTGAAAAGGAAAAAAAAAAAGGGAGGGGAGGGGCAGGCCAGCATTGATTGATGAGGAGTAGGCAGCCCCCCAGGAAATGAGTTTGAAAGGAACATATAGGGAACTAACAGCCTCATCTCTCTTGAGAAATTAACATCATCTGAGCACAGCTCTCCTTCAGCTTTTCTTACAGATTCAGTCTTACGGTAAACCTCTGGATTGATGGCTGGGGAAGACTGTTACTGTTCATAACTGGATACCAAAATTCAGGATGTTTCTATACTGCTAAGGGACACCAGTAAGAACTGCCTACTGGAATCAGCAGTGCTCTTTACTTTCCCTAGCAGCCTCCTTCAGTTTCCAAGCACAAAGTCTCCTCGCTTAGGGTTGTCCATTAAAATTTGTGAAACAACGTGCTGAAAGCAAGCTCAATGAAAACACCTGACGTCCACATCAGGAAGACATCTGTGTTTTCTAAAGACAGCACTCTTTTACTCAAAATCTTGAAGAAGTAAATGTATACATGGAGAGGGAAAGTAGACATCATTCATTTGACAAAAAGGAAGCATTCTCAGAATGACAGCAAGCAGGCTAAGGACTTGAGGGAAAAAGAAAACCAGGAATCTCTTACAGTTGTAAGCCATCTTTAAACTACTTTTATCCATCAAACTTGCATAAATAAAAAGGGAAACATTTATTGAGTATGCAAATTGAAGACACTGAGTGGGGTAAAAGCCTGAGACTTGCTACCTGGATTAGCTTTGGTCTCCTTTACAGTTGGCTGGAAAGAAAGCATCTTTTTTCCAGATTTCTTAATCTGTCTCAGCAAACTATTATCATCTACTGCATCACAAAAGTATTTCACAGTTGAATATTAAGATAGTATTCAGTGGCTAAAAGAGTAGTAAAATTTGTCTGCCCTTCTTTAAACATTGCTGTAAATTTCACACAGAGCTTGATTTCCTAGGCAGATGCCTACGACAGACTTGAAATTTGTTTTTAAACTTAAGTAATATATACTTAAAATATATCAATACAAGCATTTATGAAGTCCTACTTTAAGAACATGTAAGAACAAGTTTTCATTGAGAGAATTCAAGTTTTCTCCTTACTGAAGATTTTCACAATTAAGCTGTCTTTCTCAGTTAGGGCATTACAAAGAAACACTGTTCCTAGAACTACTACATTATGCACAGTCTCCAGAAAAAGATGGGGAAAGTTAAGCTCTCACTATTCATGGTATGATTCATTGCAAAGAAGCTTAAGAAAGCACTACAGAGTTGTTTTTTTTTGTTTTTTTTGGTTTTTTTTTGTGGTTTAGCCGCTGTGCAGTTTGATGCTGATTCAGCAGACAAAAACAAGATACAAGGCAGGTTTTACACACGGTTCTTCTGACAAGAAAGTGCTTTCATCAGCGACTTTTCTTGCATCTTATGTGATCTGTACATGAGCTAAGCTGCAACTGCTATGGCAGTAACGAGAAAAGTCATTGTTTCACGTAGAAACATTTGTCTCAAAATGGTGAATCCAGCATTTTCTCTGTGGTAAAGCTTAGGATTGAAGACCAATTATCCATGAATGGATAATATTCATAGAATAGTCTTTAATCTTTTCTATAAAGAATCATTAGTCCAGATAGAGCAAAAACAACCAAAGGGTGATGAAGTAAAAGCTACCCTTTCATTGTCATTTTTACATCTGCCCAGTGATGACATTTACACTGAGGTATCAGAGCACGCAGTGATATACACTACAGTAAAAAAAAAATCTGTTTCTTAATAACTAACTACAGAAATGCAATTTTTCCATAATCATAGATTAGCAAAGCCAGATTTTCACACTAAGCAAATAGATTAGCAAAGCTGTAAGCAACTGCTCCTCATCATAGTAGGAGCTATTGGGAATAGGTGAACGGTTGGACTGGGTGATCTTTTAGGTCTTTTCCAACCTTGGTGATTCTATGATTCTATGATTCTATGATCTGCCATGAAACCTTCAGAGATGCTCTCAAACCATTCAGAACGTCACAGTTTGAAAAACGATTCCCAAAGTAGAAGAAAAAAAGCTGTGATTTTAGCTCTTAGATTTTTTGAGGCAAATAAGCGTGTGTTCTGCACAGACTTCACATACTATTCCCATTTTAGCACATTTGACCACAAAAAAAAAAAAATCAGCTGCTGTTACATATAACGTTGTTCTTTTGACATAAATAGTGCCTTGCATGAAGAGGAAAGTACACATACTTAGTATCAAGAAGCAGAGGCTGAAAAGTAGGATTTATTCATTCAGGCTTTCTCAGCCTGTATATTCTTATACTCCTAGTGTCCATAAAACCTAGTAATGATCAGCCTTGTTTGACAACTTTAAAATAAGAGATCGTTCAATCAGAAGCAGCAAAAGCCTTTTATACTTCAATAGTAAGAAGAAATGGAGAAAAACAAAGTTTAAATATCAAGTCAAGGAAATAAAGTGACAAGAATAGAGAGATTTTGTGTTCCTAGGATGTCAGTTCATCTGTTCACTTAAGTTCTTGAAAACAATTTAGTCATTGGTATGATTAGAAAAGACTAGATCTTCACACTGCCAGTAACTCGGCAGCGTCCATCTGCTGACTAGAAAGAGCTACAGTCAAGCTAATAGTTTACCATCAAATGCTTGAAATGCTGTCTCTCACCCCATGTATACACGTCTCCTCTCAAAATTTAAGTGACTTAAACTACAATGAGCCATCAGAGAATATACAAAACCAAATATACTTGCATCAATTGTTAGGCTGGCCTATATTATCCATTACGTCTGCATATTGTAAAATTTGTACATATGGCCATGATACATGGGCTGCCAACTGTCTCTCTTCAGCACTGTAGCCCTGCAAAAGCATATTCAAATCCTTCCTCCTGCCTATTTCACATACATACCTCACCAAAGGCTCCTCGACCAATCACCTTTAGGATTTCAAAATCTTCTTTATGTAGTCGCATCTGTTTCACTTTAGATGTAAATGGTTTGGCTGAAACAAAAGAGAAATATCGATCATTAAAAAACAACAACAAACAACGTAACAGTAGCATAAAATAGATGTAATTAGAGTCCTGAAAACAACAGACTTAGATACCTGTGTGCTATAATGCAATATTGTGAATTCAAAGCTGGAAATAATAGCTAATAAAAACTAAGCCGTAACTGCTGTGAGTGAAAGGGTGTTTTTGCCCTGTAAAAAACAGTCCACTGAACAACATAGTCTTCTACATTCACAGTTGTCCACTGCACCTCTGTTTCATGTTATCTGTTACTGCATAAGCAAAGTTTAATGTATTGAGGTATTCACTTTTGACCTTTGGATGTTATTCATTTCTCTGCCAAACAGCTCTTGTATTTGATAGAAAATTAGAAGGCAGATGAAAGATGACCGGTTTGGGTAGCGCTGGTCCTGACTCTGCGTCATGCAACAGTTTTACAGACAACTTCAGGAACACATAACAGTTAATTTTTAGCTTCTGGAAGCAAGAACAGAAAGTGGAAAAACCACACAGGTATAAAGCTGATCTATAAAATGAGCAGAAGAACCCAAGACATAACAAGAAATGCCCACCCACCCAAATCTGTTAATAAGATTTTTCTGGATTCTCATATAGTTTGACCATACAAGCTATAACATAACTGGTATCACTGCACTACAGAAGTAACAGCGTTCTTTAGAATTTTCCAATCAGCCCCATCTTTCTTTCCCAACATCCCTGGCAGTGCAGCAAAAACTGTACAAGCTGACACAGAGGTCAAGAAATCTGAACTTAATTTTTTCTAAGATACATCAGATGCAAACAATCAACTCTCTAACAGCAAGTTCTGTTTGTTCTAGCTCTGGAAACATCAGCTCTGGCTTCAAGAAATAGACCAAAAAAAAGTTTTAGGTCCAAACAGTAATAACACAGCCACAAGACACTGAGATTTGCACGTAAAATAAACTAATGTTTTCACCTTAAACTTACAATTGCTTCACTCAGAATATTTATGACAATTAAAGCACAGGCATTCTTTCAAGGTGTAAATTTTACAAAGTACTTTTCTCAAGTCCACGGAGATCTCAAACTTAAAATCAGTTCCTCATAACTTAATAAAAAAGAATAAAGGTCTCAGAATAGGCAAAACGAGTGACAAGTACTCCTTCAGTGGGAGAACACGAGCGATTTAACACAAGTATTAGTACTACTGACAAACACTACTGAACAAATTAAAACCAGTCGGTAAAGTCTTTTAACTTGAAAAACAACTGATTGAAAACAAACCCGTCGTTCTTGACTTCAACATTTTTTGACCATTATAGGCCTGGCTAGAGTAACAGGCAAAATATCTTGTTAACAAGCAACAGCATAGCTGTTTAAACCACAAAACTCTTTCTCACTTTATATTGTAAGGAAAGGCCTGTCATTCTTTAATTATTACATTTTGGAATCTTCCAGGGTTCCCATAGGGACAATGGAAAAATAAACATCATTAAAACTGATTCAGTAAAACACAACAGACTAAAATATGCTTGAATTTGGTTTAATGATTTGTAGTATCAGTGCTAGCAGAAAAGCAGAAGTAAACTCTTCTCTTCAATATTTTTAATCTTCTCTAGCAACAGACATGTCAATGTATAGCCAGCAGTTTTAGGAAGCAAGATACAGTCCAAGAAAAGCAAAAGAGACTTGCCCTAGGAATGTGCTCTAAATAGCTTGCTCTAAAAAAGGTCAGTGCTTCATCATCAACGTTGTTTGTCTGCTGTGCAAACATTTGATATTTTTGTGGCAACAGCAATCTTTAGTCCAGAAAATCTGGCCTGGTCAAGGGTCTTGGAAGGCACATCTTCAGACAGCAATTTCACGCATCAAGCTCTGCACTCTGCAGACTATGAGGTTAACGGGCAGATTTTTTGCAACTAGTCTAGCAATGCTATATGAGCTGTTATGAAGACAGAAAACCCCAAGGTCAGGAAGCAGTTTTCTAAATGCAATTTTTACAAAGGGGTCCCTGCAATACAAAAGGTTCTTGAATTTAAATATTTGGGGATACAGCCCTCTCCTCTATTTACATGCTCATCTCCTCTAACAGAATCATAAGCAAATTAACAATTAGAAAATAACATCCACTTTATCAGAGAATTGCAGTTTCCTTGATGAATACTAGGGCCTGTCTGCAGCTCTTCAATAGCAAAAGGTGCCATGGGAAGGGTGGGCATTTCCTTCAGCACTTCATTCAACTAACAGAAAAGCAGAGCAATAGCTCTTCCCTTTTGTATAATCGATGAATATTAAGATGTTATAATTACAAAATAAACAAGCGAGTTTGGCAAAGCAGATAATGACAACAGAAAGAGAATAGATAGAAAGCTTAACCCTATCCTGGGCTCACCCACAAAACACCAGCAGAGCAGATCTCCGGATGAGATCCTTCCCCACTGGTAGCCAGCTCTTAAATAGGTCTAGGAGAGGTGCAGCCTGGCTCCACCCCTTCTGGCAGCACAGCTGAATTGCCTTCACCTGAGCTCCTGTGGCTGGCTCATGGCTCGCCTCAGGTGATCAGTCAGAGGTTCAGGCTGTGACTCTGCAGTTCCCATACACCCCTCCCACATCCCTTTTCTCAACTCCTAACAAAGCACGGAGGAGCAGCAGTTTGTTATGCCAAATTGAATTTTCTCTCTTCCAAAGCAGCAGAGAAATACAGGCAGCATTTCCCCTGGCTCATGCAGCTCAGAGATTCTCAACTTAGCAGGAGCCACAATCTCATTATATAAAAACTTACGGATTTGCCAGTATGTCATTTATGGCCACAAGCTGCTGAGTCATATATAGAGACAGTTATTCTAAAAAATATCCACATGCTGTTGTTATTGCCACAGAGATGGAGGGATACATCTTTATCTCTAAGAACTGCCCTACAAAAACACTGGCCACCCAACCTGGCCAACACATTGGATCTTGATCTGCCTGGGAAAACTGAACCACCATACTCTTGGCAAAGATTCCTTACACTTAATCAATTACATACGGCAAGAAAAAGCCATCTGACAACTCAGCCTCAAGGGAAACCGACACACTAGAAGCTAGGCTAAGCTATTTTGTAATGAGGTGAACCTGTCATGACTATTTTAAGTAATTTAAGTCTCTATGGGTTGTTCCTCACCTTTTATGTTCAAGACATTCATTCCATTTCTGTTTACAAAGCAGTCAAACTGGTCAAAAAAACAGCAGTATGAAAAGAATTCTTTAATTGTTTCAAATCCTTCCAGCAACTTCACCTGGAGTAAAAACGTTAACAGCACGCTAAGCCAACCACCAGGGTTCCCTCTGCCAAACCAGACATACTGAGGAGCACGCATTCTAGCTCGTATGGGTTCTGAAGTAGAGACACCAAACTTGAAAAGCCTGGCAAGGTGCAAGTTGAAGCATTCTATAAGCAGTGCTAAGAAATATTTAATACCAAGAGATTTAATTTTTAAACTGTTGGAAATAAAAGTCCATCTCCTGAAGAGCAGATGGGGAGGACAGCAACACTGTCAACCCAATGCAGTTTAGTACTGTCATTATAAATGCACATGATAACAAACAACAATCAATAGTAATTTTAAAAGCAACACAAAAACACACACAGAAAATAGAGCAGTACTGGAATCTCATTTGCAAAGTTAGTCTTCCCGTCTCGTTCTCTTTCTCTCCAGTTCCCAATCTGCAGAGATTGGGCAGAGCAAGCCCTGAAATTCTCATCTGTCAGGGCTGACCTCTGGCTGGTGTGGCAGAACTCCTTCTCTCTCTCTCTCATCTGCAACTGACCTTTTCCTTCCCCAGCAAAGCACTGCAGAGGATTGGAGCTGCTTTATGATGGGTTGAAATTACACTCAGTGAGATGAGGATCAGGTTGACTGTCTAAAGACAGGGCCAAACATTTGCAGGCCTGGAGCTGCAACTAACTGAAAACACACAACTGATTCATAAATTTAATAAAACACAATGGGACAATGTCAGGGAATTCCAAATTCTCCTTGGTGCCTCACTGATGTCAAGGTTATTTTACTGGTAAGCACAACAGATAACTAACTCAGCTTCCATGAAAGTGTGCATCTTCTACTGGCAGGTCTCAGTAAGGTATCTACGCCCTGCCTCTCCAAGGAATGATAAAACGTGCTTCCTCCTCAGTAATCCAGGTGTCACACAGCAAAAGCAGGCTTCTGGCCACTGCGCTGCTCCATATAACAAACCTCAGTAAGCCAAAGATTTAGAAACTAAATGCTGTATCCATCAAAACTGTTGACAGAAATGATGCAAGTTCATTATGAAGGAAACACAGAACAACAACAACGAAAACAGCAGCCATGGAAAAGCAGCTGCTTGCCATCTCAAAAGAGAACCTCCTCCCCTTCACCAGTTAAAAAAATCACTATAAAAATACACAGAGAGCATTCCCTCGCTAAGGAGAAAACCCGCACAACCTGAGACACTGTCACTCAACACACTCCCAGAAGGCTCTTGGATTTCTCTTACCAGTTCTTGCAAACACAAAACCAACAAAACAAAACCCAAGAAGAAAGCAGAATACACTGATAGCCCTGCTTTTCAAGACATTTTGCAGCTTTGAATTTCTGCTAAATTCCTGAAAGGTTACAAGTGTTTGTATTTTACATATTCAATCTTGCTATTATTTTCAACTGGCTTTATCAGCTGTGATTACAAAATACATAAAATGCAGTTCTGAGTTAAGAAAACCACAACTGGATGCTTCAAAAAGCTTCAGAGAAGAGGCATAAGAATGCTCTGTCTGAAACCAACACAACTCCTCTAAAGATATAACAGACATTCAGCAAGGCAGAGCTGCAACTTGACTGCGAGATGGAGCATCCCCTTCTCTCTACCCACCTAAAACTGGCAAGGCAGCACAGGAAAGCTTCCTGGCAGCTTCTTGTCTCTTTGGAACATATCAGGGACAAAACATGGCAGACCATGGCCAAACCACAGAACTTTATTTAAGACTATG